TATTGGACTAATTACTTGAGAAACATGTTCCCAAGGTCAAAATGAAAAATACCAGTTGCTTAGTTTTCAGATGGTTGCTAAAATTTGAGCTTTACTCTCTAAAGCCTAAATTAAACATTCCAACAGACATGAACAGCTCAACCCAAGGCCTGTTTTCCTAGATGAAAACAAGGATGACCAACAGTAAACCATAGGCTCCTCTGGGGCTTATCCCCTTTCAGTTCTAAAATCCTACTCCTGCTCTTTCCAACCACGCATAATTGTAACTCTTGCCAATACTTTTTAACTCGTGTGTTGCCCTTCTTTCTTCAGTAGTCCACAAGTAGGCAAGCACAATCCGAGCTCATGATTTTAAAAGGCACTGGGAAACTTTCTTGTTGTTGCTAAAAAGAATAATCACTATCTCTGTGTGTGCCTTGCTCTGTTACAGAAAGAGAATGTTGAGACAGAATTACCTGATTGATTTTTCTCACTCCCATGCCCTTCTGCTCCTCCTGACATCTTCATGGTGATTTAAGTGAGAAGCAATCGTACATTCATATTTATCAAGACAATATGAGTAACCTACAGAAGGATGAAGCATGATTTATCCATTCAACAAACATTTATTGGCTGTAGCAACAAGATATTAACCAGTGGGGAATATAAACAAACAGGCCATTACAGCAGCATGAGGTAAACACATAACAAGAGACCAGAATGCTCTGCAACATCAAGAGGCCCAGCTCATCCGCCCTGGGAGGTTCAAAGAAGAGTCCCAGAATCGAAGGTGGCTCACAGCTCAAGAAACTTCCCCATATGAGCAGTGTCTGCACAGCAACATTACTGAGTTATCAGGTAGACTCAGCACAGACGGTTTAACAGAGAGACAGAACCACTCGATTCAGATGCCACTGGTATTTATTCACCACGGCACTCCAAAGCCCAAAGGTGGCCACAGTTCACCTATAGCCGTGGGTCTACATAAGCTTTCCATGTCTCTCTATTTCTAATCCATCCTCTTCTGTTTAACTGTTTGTTTGGTTTTTGTTGTTGTTGTTGTTTGTTTGTTTTTTGCCAGTTTCCTACCTATCAAAAATTTTAACTCATCCTAACAAAAACTTACCAATAGCTGGAGTGTCCAAGAGGGCACACCAGGGCCCTGCCTCATGGTCACAAAACTACAGAAGTATAGAAGTGAGAAAACCCACGAGAGTATCCACTCACCCAGTCCACGTCCCAAAGGCCACGCAAAAGTGAACCCGTTAATAACAATCCAATGTTAAGCTTAGCCTAAACTTGATACATTTTTGTGGACCATAAATCTGTCCTGTTTTGAAGACTCCAAAGCTCCTTCCCTGAGTTATTTTCTTCTGTCCCTTCAAGGACTTTGTCTAACCTGTACTTTTTCCTGCTTCAGAGAATATTAGTATTTTTCAATTTATTTATTCCTGTCATCGTAGATGTATGCCATATTGCTGGTATCAAAGACAAATAACACAAGTTGACCGTTTGTCCTTCCAAAATGTTGAAAACTAAGAGAATAGTTAGATGAAATTAATTTCTAATGTCTCTTCTGGTCTCGAGATTTCATGATTCTGTCACATGACTGGAGCCACTTTCCTATGAGAGCCGTGCATCAACAGAATTGTTCAACTTTAGACACAATATAGAGAGAAGGTAGGTCAACATTTCAATGCTGTTGTTAATATGGCCACACTGCCAATGGGCAAGACTACCATTGCATGTCTGAGAAAACCAGGTCTGTGTCACACTTGGTTATCTGTTTTTAGGACCATTGTAATAGGGTTTTCCTCAAATGTACTTTCCTAAATCACAAAGTAAATAAAATAGTATGAGTTAAGTACTTAAGGACTTCATGTCCAAGAATGTGTAATTATTTAAAATTTGTTTTATTTTACATGTGTGAGTGTTTCCCATGCATGAATGTATGTGCATTACATGTGTGCCTGGTACCCATTGAGATCAGAGGAGGACACTGGATCCCCCTGGATCTGGAGTTACAGACAGTTGTGTGCCACCATATGGATCCTGGGAACCAAACCCAGATTCTCTGCAAGAGCAACAAGTGCTCTTAATAGCTAAGCCATCTTTCTGGCCGCACATGTGTATTTAGCTATACTTCCTAAAACTGAATAGTAATTATCTTGAGATCTTAGCACTAGAATAGAAAAATTGTGCTCTATCTTTTGAAACTTGGTTTGGTTTGGGAAGTTTTGTTGTGCTGTTGTTTTATGTAGGTTTTTTTATGTATGTCAGGCTGGCCTTGAAATCATTATGTAGCAGAAGATAACCTTGAATTCTTGATGTTCCTGCCTCTACCTCCTAAGTGCTAGGATTACAGGTGCTAAGCTTTCTGAAGAGCACTCCAGACACACTACCAAGACTATGCCTACACTCACATGTTATACGATCTCATTCCCATGTTTCGTGGGCCACACTTTGCACAACCTAAGTAGCAGGCTTATCAGTAAGATATACATTGTCATAATACACCCTATAGTTTGGAAGCTCGGCTTATCATTGGGAGCATAAAGAAGACCAGAAGGCTACATTTCTGAAACCCTGTGCCAGGCATGATCTCTAGGGAAAACACACCGTTAAGTGTCCTCGCTCTTGCGTAGCAATGTCATCTTCAAGTACTATGGAAACATACTTAAGGCCCCAGGCAGTTCTTGACAGCAAAGAGCTAACCACCTGTGTACAAATCCAGTCTCTAGGATTTCTGAACCATCTGACCCCACGAGCAAATGAGTGAATCAGTCTGGGCGCTATTTTCCTTGTATGTAAAAGAAAGAGAGCATCATAATACCACCTTCCCCATTAAGTTGTTGTCAGATTCATTCAGTATGCACGAGGCATCTTCCTCACCTTACCTCACCCCCATTAACTCTAAAATTGTTCACTTTGAAGAATTCTGAATAGGTTACTGGAATGCAGGAAAACAAACACGAGGAAGACAGCTGGGTCCCAAAGAGAAAGATTTCATAATTGCTATGGCTCAATTGGTTGAGTCATATTAAATTAAGTCTGGGATTTTCAAGGACAAAAAAAAACAGAGCTTCCCCACAGGACACCTATGACAAGAAAGCAAGTGGCATTCAAGGCGGAGAGTTCTAAGAACTGACTTTTGATGGTGTCCATGAGTCACTTGTTCAAATGGGAGGAGGGCAGGACTCCTCCATGAACGAGAAACAATCTTACATGGTCCTTTTTCTCCATATTTCAGATCTACAGCTTAACTCAGAGCCAACCCCTCTGAACTCCGAATAAGGCCACAGAGAGAGGCAGAATAAGAAGTGGAGTCCAGTGACCAGAGTAGCTGGTAAGAATCACTAAGTGGCTGTCAACATCTAAGCAAACAACCGTTTATTTGGGCTGCGGTCCCCTCGATTGCTCCCACTGTATTTATTGTTACTATAGCTGGCTAAACACTAACACTGCCACCCATGCAACATTTTCGTCATTAGAAAGATGTGAACAGCCAGGTAGTGGTTGCCACACCTTTAATCCAAGCACTCGGGAGGCAGAGGCAGGCACTCTCTGAGTTCAAGGCCAGCCTGGTCTACAGAACTAGCTCCAGAAGGTTGCATTTTCTCCAACACCAGAAAATGCAAAGGCTATTTGAAGACAACTTGTTCAGAGCTTATGAATCATTTAGAAATAGCCACACAAATTAAATAAGTAAATAAATAAAATAAAAACAAAACAAAACAAAACAAAAAAAAAACACCAACATCACATTTAAATAATGTATGTATACACAACGCCACCAAAAGCAACACAGTGACTTGTCAGAACTCTAAACACATGTCAGGATCATGTCCTGAGTAAGACACCTACTTGGTAAGTAAAGACCTCTAATTTTCCCCAAGAAAATTTCTAACTCTGTAGAACACATCTTCAGAGTCACCAACACCTTACCACCCTAGTTAAAAGTATCCTGACCCAAGCATAGCATCAGGAAAATCCTGAGTTAAGGCAGGTTGGGAGGGTCAACTGGGGGAGCCGGGTGTGGGGAGGATCCTGTGTCAGCAGCCATGCCGGAGGAAGACATGGCTCCTGGCTTCCTGCCCTCAACTCTGAGACTTACAAGGTATGTTGCCTCTCCTCCTCCCAGGAAGCCCTGGCCACCCCACACTCTACCTGTGAACACTGCTCCAAACCTTGAGTGTTCTGAAACAAAGGTCAGTAGTTGCAATGCAAGGCATGCTCCTCACTGCTTTGAAGGCCATCACCCACAAGCCCTAGCATGGCTCTAATGAAGCCAAGTAAGTACCTGCCCCATTTTGTCTCCCTTCAGCCACCGCTCTGTTCCTTCCCAGGTTCCTATCTCATCTGTAACCACTTTCTTCTCCAAACTAAAGAATTCCTTCATTCTCCCACATGTTCCTGTTCACCCAAGTAGTGACCCTGTTGCCAGGCTTTCTGTCTGGCATAATCCCTTCATACTCTACAGGCAAAGTCCCAGTACTAAACATGCATCTGCCTCCTTCCACTCTGCAGGAGACAGCCACAACCGGACAACCTGCCACCCCTCAAAGGAAGCAGGTTTGAGCGGCCTGTTGCCGGTGCACTCTGAGTTTCTGGGAGTAGGGACTGGGCTGTGGGCATCAACACACAGGGGACAGGGAAGGGGGAAAGGTGCCTTCTGGGCAGGGATGCTTATGGCCCTTGTAGAAGCAAGCAGTGCTTTCTGGCCAGTTCTCTGTGTGTCTGTCATCTTCTGCCACACCACCCCCAATCTGTTTGCCAAATACCTCAAGATGTTTCCGGAAGGCTCTGAATTATTGACAAACTTGGGGAAGATGCTTTGGAAAACACCAAGTACTAAAACAGACCTGTACAGCTAGTGCAAACACTTGGCGATCAGCAGTTTCCTTTTTAAGACCAAAGGGGAGAAAGGGGGGGGGGGTGCTGCCTTGGCTAAATAATAATGATATTCACAGAAGAGCAGACACTGAAATTCCAAAGTTCAAAATCTCAGAAGCTCTACTCACCCCTAGCCATCTCGCTCCTTTATTGGCCGCCTGTTGAATCTGGACTCTTTTGAGGGTGACATGGTAAACAGCTCCTTCCTCTACCTCTTCACCCCAGTCCTGAATCGAGCTCTGCCAGGGATGGGATAAGGAAAAAGAAAAAGAGGGTCGTTGTGTGTGTTGTTTTCTTCCCCCTCTGCTAAGCACAATCTATCCCAGCTGCTTCCCTGCTTCCAACAGCACTCCCAGCCCAAGACGGGCTGTTCGGAATAAATATTCCAACCAGAGCAATACAAGACACACTGCAATAGACAAGGCTGAGATTTTCTTGGCCCACAGCCCTTTCCTGTGGTATCAGGATCCTTCGACTTCTCCGTTCAGTTATTTTTCATAGGCTAGCCACATACTTAAATCGCTTTTTCAATTTCTTTTTCTTCATAAGGAAACTGTGGTTTAGTCCTGATCAACTCTGTCCCTTTAAGTGAAAGGGAAAAAAAAAACTCATTTGCAAAAACAAAAGTTTATCCTTCTCTAAGTACACAAACATTTGAGCAATGTCGATTCTAAACTCCTGCAAGCAAGTGTTCTAATGCCAGGAGCCCTCTTTGGGAAGTAAAGTTGTACTTCTTTTTCTCCTGTTACTGTTTTGGAACCCCCCAAAAGTTCGGGGATGAGGAAAGTTTGTATTTCCATTTACAAAAAAACAACAACAAACAAACAAACAAAAAAAACACTGGCAAGTGCAGAGAAGCAACTCATCCTCACGCAGCTTCCACTGAAAGTTACACAGCGACCCACTGGATGGCCATGTCGCCAGCTAAACCTCAGATCTGAGTTAATGGGCTGCTGCTGGGAGGCAGAGCGAGGCGCCGCTCCCCCAGACTGAGTTCTGTCCTTCCAAGTTCTGCTCTCCTGACACGCATCTGTTTGTCCCAGACACCCCGCAGGCGATGCCTGAGACCGCATCGTTTCTAGGGCGAAGAGGAGCGGAGAGGAGAGGGATACAAAGCAGAACGAGAAAGCTCCCCTCGGGTGCGGGTGGCTCCTAGCAGTTCCACGGGACTCCAACAACCCGGCCCGAGAAAGCGAGAGGTGGGAAGATTCCCCTAAGCAGAGAAGAGTCCGGGGGAAGGCGGGGAGCTCGCGTTACCATTTTAGCTTGCCAAAGCAATTTCATTCTCAGTTTTCTCTCCGGTACACGGACGCTGCATGGTGCGCCCTGCTCCGAGGCGGCCGGGGCGTCTCTCTGGCCCGGCTCCGGGTCCCCGCGCCTCCCACGCTCCCCGCTGCCCTACCGGCCACCGCCGCGCGCGACTCGGCCACAAAGGAGTGCGGCCAGGGAGCGAGCAAGCAGCTCTGGAGCCCGCGGCCGCAGACTCCTCCCCACCGCTCCGTGATGTCAGGCTTTCCTGTTTGTGCTTGCGAGCACACTCTCCCTTTCGGAAGCCCCGCGGATCAAGGGGGCGAGCAATCGTTTCTCCAGCTCCAGAGTAGTCAGGAAACGATGCTTTCAAGTAGACCGGTTCATCAGGGTTTCCCGGTGGCCACCAGGTGCCAAAATAGAACCATGTGTGTGCCATGGGGCATGTGTGCGCAGCCTCTGCCTGCTTCGCTGAAGGAAACGAGTAATTCAGAGCGAGGGACACTTGTGTGATCTGCTTGCTATTTGGAATTTAGAGCAATTAAATCAGAGTGCCCTCCGTTTCAGGGAAGATTATCATTAGGATAAAGTCAGAAGGCACCTGGGAATCTAAAACCCGTGCCCAGGGGCTCTGCCCTGCCCTGCACCTGCCTGGAGTTGCGCCTACCTCCCATTCTTGTTCTTTTGTTGGCTTTCTTGCTTCTTTTTTGACAAAAGGTGGTCCTGGGTAGCCTTGAACACTGGGAACTTTTATGGCAATCCTCCTGCCTCTGTCTCCTGTGTGCTGAGATTACAGGCATGCATCAGCTCCACCACCCATTCAGATAAGGATTAGTTACTGCCTTACTGTGGGTTAGAGCAACACAGCAGGGGAGGGTTTGCAGTATCCGACATGGGCCAAACGTGGTCCTGGGGATTCTGGAATCTCTGTGGGCAGCCATGGCGTGCCTGCATTATGGGGACACAGTGGAATAATTATTGCAGGGAAAGCCTTTCAAAAGGACACTGCTGGTGAGATTTTTATCTTAACACAAAGGTCTGTGTGGAACAATATATTACATTATAAAAGATCTGGTTGTAATAAATTAACAGCAAGAGATAACTGATAATAACGCAGCCAAAACTATACCTGCCAGAATTCTGTACCAATTACAAAGACCTTGGGGATCAAATGATTTACAGGTGTCACCCCTGATCTTTGAAAAAGACCTCCTCCTAATTGCCATGCTAAACCATGGCACTGAGCTTTAATTAGTAATAAATATGTCACAAGCTGAAAAGTCAGGGAATCAAACGCACTGATGTCTCCAGAAGAGCAGAAGAAATGACAGCAAGGGCACACCAAGGAGGCAAAGGACCTCCGAGCACTGCATGACATCTTCAAGTCACTCAGGCAAATGCTCCTCAGACAGCCCCAAGCTTTGGGGGTCCAAGACTGTGTAGAGAGAAGAATGTTCTTTACAACCAAAGTGGCTGTTCCTGTCATTTAATTATTAAATGCACACAAAAACATATATACACATTCCTTCTGCCATGCTCAGTACTCAGAACAGTGTCCCAGAAGCCAGAAAGAAAGCATGTAGAGACCCTAGCGAGGACTTGTTAGCCTTCCTCAGGGGCCCAGATCACACCTACAAGACCTACTTGGTGATTCTGAAGACAGGGAGACAACAGGTGAGCAACCCTGGGGATTAACTTCACCACCACTCTAACTCAATTTGCTTCTACAGCATGGGACAAACATCCACCTCATAGAATTTCAAAAAGTGTTAATAAAGTAAAGTGCATGGAGAGTTGGCAAAAAGGCTCCAGTCTTTCCCTACTGCCCTCCCACTAAGCACCAGCCCAGACTCCATGAAACTGCCATGACTGCAATGTGGAGAAATCTGAAATGACGTCTTCCAAATAAAGTTCCAGAGAGGCTTACCAAGAATGATTATTATTCCCAAGAAGGTGTGATTTTTTTATAAAAACTCTTTCATGAAGGAAAGAAAAAGATAAAAAACAAAACAACTGACTTTATGTGATTTAGAACTATCAAACGTTGACATCAATGAGAACTTTAAAATTTTATTTCTAAATATTTCACCTATAGGTGATATAATCAATACTAACTTCTTAAAGTACTACTTAGTATATACAGAGAATAAACCTGCTCAGTAGTCAGTGTGAATTTACTTACCTGATAAATACCTTACCTACACCCTAACAGGCCACCAGAAAAACAGCTTTGCAGTTTTGGTATTTGGCTCTTTTCTGTTTTGATAAGTTTGTTTGTAAGTATCTTATTCTGTTTGGTGCTGTTATGATTAGTATTGCTTTCCTAGTTTTATTTTTAGGTTGTGGTGTCCAAAACCACAACTGACATGTCCATGTACACAAACACACAGAGACATGCATGTGCACACACACACACAGGTCAGGAGAAGGTCATGTTCACCTGAGCTGGCACATGTGGAGACCAGAGGTTGACCTCTGGATGCCTTTTCTTAATTGATTTTCCAACTTCCACTTTGAGATGGGGTCTTTCCCTGAAGCTCCGTTTTGGCCAGACTAACTAACCAGTGAGCTCCCAGGACCATGCTGTCACCACACACCAGCTCCGGGCTTACAGGTATATGTTGCCATGTCCAGCTTTTATGTGGGTTCTCAGGCCTAAACTTAGCAAATACTGTACCCACTGAGCCACCTCTCTGGTCATTTTTGCCCCAGTACTGGGGATTCATAACTAATATTTGAACTTTGGCTTTGTGTTCCATAACTTTAATGTATTTGTTCATTGTTTCTAATTGTTCTTTTGTTGACATAAATAAACAAATAAATAAATAAATGCCTGTTTGTGATTTTCAAGACCTAACATGTTAGATGTCCATGCTAACCAAAACTACCAACCAACAAAAGTTATGAACAGATGACAAGTGGAACGACATCAAACCAAATAGCCTCTGCCCAACAGAGGAATCTAGCCAGGGGGGAATGAGAGAAAAAAAAAAAAAAACTTGCAAATCACCTGACCAATAAAGAATTAGCATCCACAATAGACAAGGAATTCCTATACATCAATAACAAAAGAATAGCTATAATCCAGTTAAAATGGCCAACATAACTGAGTAGACATTTTAGGAAAATTTCATAAAAAACACCCACAAGTATATGAAAAGATATCTTGTATCATTCACCAAAGGGGAGAAGGAAGGAAAAGAGAGGGGAGCAGTGTGGGAGGGGAAAAGAGCAATGAGAAGTATTATGAAAATGTTATAATATTTTATACACTAAGTAGAAATGAATTTTTAAAGGAAGGATGGAAGGGAGGTGGGGAAGGAAGAAGTGAAGGAGGTGCATGAGTTGATGAGGACGCAGAGAAAAGGGACCTCGAGTACAATGTAAGCAGTGCCCACTGTGAAAGCAAGTACAGATGTTTCTCAAGAAAATAAAAATACATAAGCTTGAGTAATGCCAATTATGGTATTTATAAAAGAACGTAACTCCAGATCTCTAAGAAATGCCTGCACTTCCATAATTATTATAGCATTAGTCACAATGGCCAAGTTACAATCTGGATGGCAATCAATGGATGAACACATAAAAAGAAAATGGGATGCAATATTATCCAGCTTTTAAAAATACAAAAGTCCTCTTAAAAGGACTACATGGATGGACCTGAAGGATTCTATGCTAAGGGAAATAAGTCAAGCTCAGAAAGACAATGTAAGATCTCACTTCTGTATGTGTTTGAGTAGTCAGTCAAACACAGAGAAGCAGAATAGATCGGTGGTGCCTGGTGGGTGTGGGAGTAGAAGGTAATGAGAAAAGAAAACAGTTTCAGTTATACAAGATAATCTTTGCACAGGCCCTGTAGCTACTGTAGTGTGTGTTTTAAGTTGTCTGAGTGTAGGTCCAATGTTAATATTAGAGCAACAATAACAATGGAACGGGAAGAAACATGGAAGCAGATGTATCGGTCCCTGGCCTTGGTGGTAGTGATAGTTTG